CTCCCAAGCTCCAAAGCTAACAAACAACCGGAAACTTTTCCAGCTAACTTCTACCATAAGAGGGTTTCGTTTTAGGAAAAAACACTTTCTTGCTGCCTAATTTAATGCGAATCTACTAGTTTATAGCTTTGACTGTACACACACAAAACAGAACGAGTGCTTTTATTGGTAGTTTTTGCTCTTTTTAAAGAACGATGAACGATTTAAGGTTAAAAAAACCCAAAACCAAAACCAAACCCCCCGTCTCCAAATCTAAAACAAACAACCGGAAACTTCTCCAGCTAACGTTAGCTAACTTCTAAAGATCAAAACCCTGAATGATTAGGGATTAAAAGCGATAAAAATAAGAAATTCCCATGGAGAATGTTTCACATTTTGGCATTCAGACCAAACTGCTCTTTTAAACCAGCTCAGCCAACTAATAAAAACTGAAATATTCTGTTTCCTACTAGTTTATCGCTTTGACTGTACACACACAAAACAGAACGAGTTTTTTATTGGTAGTTTTTGCTCTTTTCAAAGATAAATTTGCGAATTAAGCTTAAAAAAAGAGCCCCTTTGACAGCGAATTGAGGACTCTCCTCCATAAATCCATGCGTGGGATGTCCGATTACCAACGGTTCACGCCGGTCTGGGCCTTGTTGTCATGGCAACATGTGACGGGGCCCGTGCGCCGGTGGGAACTGTGCCGGAGGAGGATTTAAAACTCAGATCAGATCTGCCGCCGTGCGCCACAACACAGGCGTGAGTCAGCGGCCGTGGGCGGGGCTTCAACTCTCAACCTCTCGATCAAACCACCGACTCTCAGATCTTACTCTGCCAGGCTCTGTCCAACCACACACAGACTTTCCAGCTCAGTCATCACAAGAAAAACAACAAAAAAAAACAAATCGGTGGCACAATTGCTGAACTCTAGGGTTGTCACGATACTAAAATGTTGAACTATATATTGATACTCAGGAAAATATTCAATACTCAATACCATTTTCGATACCAAAAGGATAAAAACAAAGACCCCAAAATTTAATTTCAAACTTTCATTTCAAACTGACCTGTGACTGATGTTATGGTGGCCCACATTAATGACCCTAACCCTAACCCTAGCTCTAACCCTAACTCTGACTCTAACCCTAACCCTAACTCTAACCCTAACCCTGACTCTAACCCTAAACCTAACTAGGCCTAAACCTAACTCTAACCCTAACCCTGACTCTAATCCTAAACCTAACTCTAACCCTAACCCTAACCCTAACCCTAACTCTAACCCTAACCCTAACCCTGACCCTGACCCTAACCCTGACCCTAACCCTCCACCTTTCATAATTGTGAGAAAT